AAGTCCAAAGCCAATATAATTCCCCATACTTTCTATGTGACCTGTTCTCTTCTTGCTTGAGGTTTATAGAACTATCCTTTTTCGCCTCAGGGTTTTAAAGAATGAATCATGCCCTCCAATTCTCTCTTCTCTCTTTCTCCAAATTCCTAGTATTTGGGATTGGACTACTTAGAATAACTAGTTCTTTAAATTTTCTTCATTTTTTTGGTCCCTTAAAAAAACCTCATTCTTTTTGCTCTAGCCTCTGGATGATTTCTTGACTTCATTTTATAAACCTTCTATTGATCTTTCCATTTATACTCTCTTATTTTTAACTCTCAAGAATTCTTTCTGCTTGTTGTCATTCTACGAATGTTCCTTTTTAAATAGAATTCTCATCTTGTTTCATAAACAGAGAATCTTTTATTATCTCTCTGATGATATTAATGATACTCTTTTTTAAGTTTTTTTCTCTCCAAGATTCTTTCCTCCACATTGTTCTTTTTACAAATTTGTTTTGCTCTCTATCTTTCATATGAGAGACTTTCATCAGATGTCTGGGACCCTTGACCATTCAAGGAAAAAGCTTCTTGGAAACTGATGCAAGGACAGGGCTTATGAACTCTGAACACCACTGTTGTGTGAAATGGGTGAGCCATTTATTGAAGAACTCCAAATGTAAATATATTCATTTCTTATTGCTGTTTGGCAAATAATTATAGACTTAGTGACATAAAACAATAGAAATTTATTATCTTACAGTTCTAAAGAGCAGAAGTCAAAATCAATTTCACTGGACTAAAACAAAGATGGTGGCAGCCTGCATTACTTCTGGAGGCTCTAGGTGAGAATCTGTTTCCTTATCTTTTCCAGCTTCTCCAGGTCCTGCCTTCCTTGGTTCGTGTCCCCTCATCCATGTTCAAAGCCAGCAGTGTAGCAATTTCTCTCCTCTCTGATTCTTGCTTCTATCCTTGACTCTCCTCTTTCTGAATCTAATGCTCCTGCTTCCCTCTTATGACTCCTGTGATTACACTGGGCTCACCTGGGTGGTCCAGGATACTCTCCCCATTTTAAGATCACTAATTTAATCATGCCTGCAAAATACATTTCAATCCATCCCTGTGTAACATAGTCACAGGTTCCAGGGATTAGGACATGGCATTTTGGGAGTGTTTTATTTAGCCTGCCATGGTCAGTATCTAAGTTTCTCTTTTTGTGCTGACCAGACTCCCTAGAGAGAGTGCCCAGCTGGGAAGGTAAAATTCTGGCTGGCTGCCAGCATTTTGAGCCCTGAGTAGGTTAAGAGGTCTTGGGGGGAGGAATGTCTCAGCATTCATCATTCATTACATACTAGTTACTTAATCCCTCTGATTCTCATGCAGCATCCACATGCTTGCTGAATCAGAGAGACCCTCTATTTTACCCTTTGTAGAGAATAAACTTCAGGCATGTGCTACTTCTCCATGCCACCAGCATAGAGAGCAGAAGGGATACAGAGACTCACAAAATCCTTCTTGTTTTAATGGCCTTCCTTTACTCCCAGGTCTGGAGGAATCTGGTGCTATCAATTTGAGAGTCTTTGAGGATTCTGAGGTATAAATCAGGTTGGCCTTCACCTTCCCCCACTGAGCTCAGGATTCTCATGTTTCTTGAGTTGGTTTTGTCAATTACCTGTTATCAATATGCTTTGTAAAAGCTTTCAAAATTTTGTGTCTATTGTCTACTCGCCTTTTGTCCCCATATTTGTGGTTCTATGTCTTTCGAAAACCTTTATGGTAAATTTAGTGTGATTTTAGGCAGATGTGAAATAAAGTGTGTAGTGTGTGTTCATCTTAACCCAGAAAAAGCATTTAGTGTGAATTGGCTGAGTTCTTTGAATTGAGCATGCTGTTACCTCTGACCTAGGTAGCCAGGTACCACATCTAGCGCTCTTTCTTCATTGCCTGGTTTGTGTATCCTGCCTTGCCTGCCCCATTACACACACTGAGGCTTGGCTCCTTACCTTAGTTTCCTCCCAGATATCTTAGTTCTTCCAGGACTGGAATCTTGTCCCTAATTCCCAGCTTCATCTCACAAACCAGGAAGCAGCACTGGCAGGAGTCTTTCTGGATACAGGTAGCTGTGGTTTGCATAATAGTAACCTTAAATTGCCCCTATTCCCTATAGTCTTTTGTTAGAACTCCCAGGTGATGCCAGCACCCCCAAGTGGGCAGCTGGCTTGTCTTTGGCAGAGATGTACAATTAGGATAGTAAATCACAGTTAAGTGCCTGAAGCTGAGAACTCTCTTTTTGAAAGCTCTGTATTTCTGCCTATGTGCAGAAAATTTGGATTTTGAGATAAGAAGATCTACTATTTTTCCTGCTTTGCAAAGTAAAATCTCTTTCCACATCCCCCAAACACTTGTCCTCATTCTTCTGATTCAGCCTCTTTGACAAGTGCCAAATTTTTGGTAACAAGAGTAGAAATGTATAAAATAGAAATCATTCTCAATTAGAATTAGCTGGCAACACATTCTCTCTGAGTATTAGGAAGGGGAAAAACTGTTTCTAGAAAGGGTAAAAATAAGAGGCTATTGCACACATACCTGCATATCTTTTCTCCTTAAATGGATTTTATAGAAAGAATTAGAGGACCCTTGCTTTTTAAATGACATTTATTTTTTCAACAAATTCAAGTACATAACACATTTTCAAAGCAAATTTTGAAAATATTGAACAATGTAAAGAAAAGAAATATAATTTATGATCCCATCATCAGGGGATAATTATTAATATTAACAGTTAAATATTTTTCCAGTCTTTTGTCTATGTATCTGAAAGTTTGTACATGTCTATATATAATTATATGGTTACTTAAAAATTTAGGCTCAGCCTTCACACATATATTTATATTCAGCTTTTTTACCTCAAATTGCATCATTAGCATATTACTCTTCAAATATAGAATTTTTTGTGGCTGTGTTAAAATTTAATTTTACTGATAGAGATATAATAGTGCATTCAGCTGTAGCCCTGTTGTTAGACAATGTTTCCAGTGCTGTGCTGGAGTCATTCAGCTGACATCTACTCATAGTCAACACAATACTTGGTAAGAGTTTAGACAGTCTGAATGTGTCTGACAAACTGGTGGGGTTGATCTGCCAAAAGTCTGTTTACAAGAGGGCTGAGGATTCTTTGGGACAACTTAAAAAAAAGAGGGTGCTAGACACGATGAGCATATGGGCTTGAAGAGTGAGACACCCTGGACTGTGAGATGGGGGCCACTGTGAGGATAGTATGGTGTTTGCAGCTTGGGTTTATCTCCTGGCCCAGGTCCTACAGATCTCATGTTTAAATTCTTTGTAAAATGGAGTGTTATGAGTGAGAGTTTTAAAAGAAGATTGAATGGGGCCTGAGCATCTCTGTCTTAGGATCCTTCCAACATATCTGGAAAGGGGAGACTTTGGTTGAGTCATTTTGGTTGCAATGAACAGACAAGCACTGATTTACTGGTGGTGTTTACTGAAATGATCCACACGGTGATAAGGAAGAAAGACTATTCAGGAACCAAAGAACAGACGCCAGGCCTCATGTACATTTTCACTGTTCACTGTGGACAAAGGCAGTTTTAGGAACCCCCCAGAGCAGAAGATCATGTGTCTTTCTTCTAAGGTGACACCATTATTAACATGAACCAGATACTCTCTGTATGTTGATTTCCTTCCTCATCTTTAGTCATTTTTCTGATAGCAATGTTGGGGTTGCTTCAGTCTTGGCTTCCTAGCTCAAATTCTCAAGCCAGAATAACTGCCAATCTTGTTTGGACAGTGTTTCATTCCAAGCTAAGTCAGAGGCTACTGGCAAGGAAATAGGCTACCTGTGGTCCTGGGGCCTGTCCCAATTTAGTCATCTGGTTCCAGGGATTGGGAATCATGTGGTATACAACATGGGTTGTTTTCAACATGCTCCCTGAGCAAAGGCTGTGGACAGGGCAGCTTGCATTAAAGGGGGCTGTTGGCACAGCAGGCACCAGGGAGAGAGGCATTCTCCCCCACTTCCCCAGAGTCTACTGTCTGGCTTTGGCACAGAGCAAGTGCTGACAAAACGTAGTTGGCAGTGTCCATGGATGAGAGCAATGGGGAAGTGGCAGAAGTGTTGAGGCCCAGTGGACCTGTGATGGAGACAGTACTCAGAGAGCAACCAGAGAGAGCAGAGGGCCTGGCACCAGTGTTCAACATTGAGTGCCTACTGGGTCCACTGTGTGCTGGGCCCTATGGATGATGGAAAAATATAAGACATGGCTGCTGTCCTCAAGGAAGTCATGTATGTATGGTGGAAAGTTTGTAAAGGTTTTACATTTTAACTTTATTTTTATAAATGTAAGTACTGATAACTCACCATGACACCTATACACCAGTTATCAACTGGTCAATGGTAATTTTCTCTAGTCCATTGAGTATGTCTCCAGCTGCTCATTTATATTAAGTCCACCACACTCTTCTAGTCCACCACACTCATCACCAGGAGTGAGAAAGTAAGACCAAAAGTTTAGATTATAAAGTTTATAGAAAACTCTTTTTGGCTTATCTATATCACTACTTTCCATACTGAACATTGATTGAAATGTCATTCCATAATGTTTACATTTACTCAATGTTGGGAAATGTGGTAAGAGCATATGCCTTTAAAATTTTGAAAACTAGGAAATTTTTAATAGTAAAAATATGAGTTTTAAAAAATAGTTATGATAAAATATATTCAATAAAGAAAACCTGGGAAATATACAAAAGTAGGAAGAAGGGTCATCTATGACCCAAATCAATCATGGTTGACATTTTGATGTATTTCCTTCTAAATGTAATTTTTATTCTAAATTTTGAGTATTTGGTATTCATTTTAAATAGTTTTACTCATACTGTAAACATAAATTTGTAGCCTGCTTTTTATGTAGCATTACTCATAATCTTTAAAACATCATTTGTAATGACTGTATAATTTTATAACTAATGTGCCGCTCTTTATTTATTTTATTTTATTTTTCATATCAGAAAGCATTTACAGTATATACCACTCTTTATTTAATTCTTCCTCTAAAGCTAGCCTTTTGGGGTATTTCTAATTTTCCAAAATATTAAACAATGTTGCAATATACATATTTTCAGAAAGTTTTATCTTATATTCTTATTTATTCCCATAGTATAGATTCTTGGAAGTGGATTTGTTTGATTAAGGACATAAGCATTTCTGAAATTCCTGATACATATTGCTTAGGAAAAACATTCTAAATAGGAGGGTAGCATAATTTGAACTTCCAGTGAGGATTGCAAATTTCGCAAAGGGGCACAATAAACCAAATGAAGAAAACACCATCATTTGAAAATTGCCCTCGACTCTATACAGTTGATATAAGACTTAGAAAGATTGCCATATCTCGATAATGGAAAATATCTTTGTCCTATTCAAATGATTCCAGGCTATAAAAAAAGGAAAAACAAAGTGAATAAAATTATAAATTTGGCTTGATTAATGATTTATAATCCGAGTAGCAACTTAAACTTAAATTTCATATTCAAAACATGTTAGAATAGGAAAATGTCTATTTTTTGAAACTGCTATGAAAGATATTATACATTATATATTGTTAAACAAAATACAAGATATCTCATTCATGATTTTTCTTCACTCTGGACTTGGTAAATAGATATAGCAGTTTCAACCACAACTAAATTATCATTAGTATTTTAGCAGATAAAGTAGTTCAGTAGCATAAAGATATATTTCCCCTCTTCTTCAAAACCACTCACTAATGCTCTCAATATAAAGAATATTTATTGGTTGAATGTAGCAGCATTCAAAAAAGAAATTATTTCAAAGGGATAAGGTTCTCAGCCTTTGATTAGCTTATGATCAGGGAAATTCTGGATAAATGACAAAACTTCTTTGTGCTTTGGATTATCTCTACACAACACTGAAATGTTGGTCATTCAAAACAATTATGCAGTTTCACTGTACAACACAGGATGTATTTTACCATTATTGAGCTAATTCAATCCATACAGACAAGCTGACAGACACATTGGGATATCAGGGGAAAAATGAGACGCTAGAGCTTGAGTAAAGATGAGGCCAGTAGAAATGGGGGTGGGGAATGATGGCATTCTACAGACATCTCAACAAGACTCACTGGGTCCTGGGAAGTGGGAGTAAAATGGAGGAGATACAGGCACCAGTGAGGATCTGTTACCTGGATGATGACTGAATAGCTTCCACACAGTATCTTGGATAACAGAATGACGACTCTCATGAGGCAGATGATTACTTGAAGCCCGCTGAGGGATATGAGAATGGAAAATAAAATGATGTTCCACTCGACTATATGTGCAGGTTCCAGGCACTGATTCCACATGCTGGAATCCGTAAGGAAACTGAGAGAGGAGAGAAATAGTCAACGAGACCCATGGCCAAGTCTACATACTTGGTCCAAGGAAGACGTCTACAGGTATTTGTATGTTTGGGAAATTAATATATATGATTAAAATATATAATAATATTAAATATGAGTTAATATATTTAAAAAATCATTCAGATACTTATATTGAACACACTGTATACATAGCACTGAGCTAAACACTTGTTTATTATAAATGTGGTTCCTGCTTAACAGGCAATTCCAATTCAATTAGGAGGTAAGACACACACACACCAAAGGGTTCAATAGCAATGAAAGACAGCACAGATCAACACCAAGAGAGATAGAGAGAACCCATTTTCTAGGAGTCCAGAAGTTGGCCCAGGCCCAGGGTTGAGCTTGCATAGGACATAAAATCAGACACATGATAAAAATAACAAAGAGAAATTCTGCTAGAATTCCTCAGCCCTGTCTCAAAGCCCTTTGGAACAGTGGCTCTCAAACATGAGTCTACATCAGGATTATCTGGAGGGCTTGTTAAAATACAGATGGCTGGGCCACACTCCAGAGTTTCTGATTCAGTTCCCAGGTGCTGCTGCTGTTGTTGTGGTCCACATTGTGAGAAACTCTGCTTTAGAACATTGCTGTCCCATAGTTGTTAAGAAGATTTAGATTATGGAGAGGAAACACACAGATCAAAATTTTCAGTCAATCTATTTAGCACAGGAATGTGAGAGTTAAGCTACTCTCAAGACAGCCTTAAAACCATGCTGAATCAACCTGACTTCTGCTCACTTCTACGTCTCCCATGGCCATGAGCACTTCTCTTAAGGCTGAGGCTTTCTCTGTTCAGCCAAATTAAAATGGAGAACTGGTCCACTCAAAAAAAAAAAAAAAAAAAAAGACAAAAACAGTCAAACACATTTATAGGACAGGGATGTTTATAAATAATCTTGAGTCAATAACACGATGCTTTTTCTCAGAAAAGCAGTAGACAATCCAAGTACCGGTCAGGTGGCTGTGGGTGTTTGTGCCTGGGGTGGAAAGGGTTGAATTCTGTACTTTGGTGACCACCTCCACCGCCATCACCTCTCCTCTTTGTTTTTCTTTCTCCCTCCTCCATTTCATTCCTACTCCCTTCCTTTTAACTTTCTTTTTCCTCCCTTTCTTTATTTCTCACTCTCTAATGCCCTGGGAAACAAAGGCACTCTGAGAATTTCTTGATATTGCTGATGGCCCTGATCTTGAATGGCAAAGAGCACTGAATATGAAGTCAGAACTAGACCTGTAGGATCCAGGCAAGGGACTTTACCCCAGTGGCCTCCAGAGTCTTATCTGGATAATGGGGTTAAAATACCTAACCCAGGGTTATTGTGAATATTTGGTAAGAGCATGTATAAAAATGGTTTGGAATCTGTAAGCATAATACAGATGTGGTTTTCTGTCACAATTTCCCTAGATCCATCTCATACCCCCTCAATATCCCTAACTTAGTCACAACCACTAGGGAAGTGAGTCTCTCCAGATTCCTACTCTAGACTGTTCCCAGTACCCGCTCTGCACAGATCATCCAACACTTTAAAACAAGATGTCTCGCAGGGCTTCTGTTTTTCTCCCAGACTATGGTATTGTTTATTCTTCTTGTGAACTGTGGAGAGTCATAGCTGCACTTGCAGGGACAGGAAAGAATAGAGAAGCTGGCCCTGACACCCACGCCCCCTCCTCAACCTCCACCCACCGTTCTATCACAGCATTTACTGCACTTGTAGTAATAATTCTGTCTGTATCTATACATCTGTATCATCTATATCTTCACCTGTTTCTATTTCCTTAGCAGACTATGTACTCTGAGAGCACTGACTGTGTTTTATTCATCTCTGAATGGCCAGGTCTAACATCTAAGATCGTGCCTGACATATTGTAAAGATCAACAAGTATTGGTTGAATGAAAACTGATTCAGGATCCCCACCAGTCACCATGCCAGTGGCTAAACCTGCTGGCCATCTGCTGGCAGGTGCAGAATATCACATGTCCTAAAGAGGTACACGGGGTAATAATGTTAATAATAAAGCCTGGCATGTGGTGAGAATTTATTACATCCCATTTGTTCATTACTTCCATGTAATTCTAAATTCTGTGAGGTAGAAATGATTATTATTCCCAACTTACAGAGGCTTAGAGATATCCAGATATTTGTCTATGGTCATATAGTTTATAAGTAGGAGAGGGGGACTTGAATCCTGATCTAGAAGCATCAAAGACCTGTGCTCCAAAGGCAATGTTTGTTCACCCTAAGGCTTCCATCTCAGCAGAATGTTCTGCCAGATCTGTGTGTGTTTCTAGAAGGAAGGGGAATCTGTGCAATTTATCTCTGATTCTATAGCAACTATCCCAAGGCATGAACATAGTGCTCAATATTTGCTGAATAAATGTGCAAATAAATAACTGATATCCACAACTTCAATATTAATACTGTTCCGCCCTCCATTTGCCAAGCCTTGGAAAATTCTCTAGGAGACCAGAGACTTGGCTTCCCTGTGTGGCCTCCAAGCAATGCTTCACCTTGAAATAGTTTTATATAGATGAAAACAGGTGAAGACAAACATCAAGGGCAGCTTAAAGGAATAATGGAGAGGCATGTGGGCAGCCTGAGATTCATGCCCTGAGAGGGGAGGCTTCTTTGGTTTTGGAGTAGGGAAAAGTTCAGGGGATGATGACATAAGAAAGGGGTCTTTTGCACCCTGTGGGAATTTCTACGCTAGAGTCCTCTTTCCTGAGCCCTTTCAGTTCCATGGGAGTGTCTCCTCCAATTGCTCAGGAAGGCCTAAGGTTATTGTCTAGGTTTTCCTGACCTAAGGGAGAGCACTGCTTACTAAAAGAGGTCAATAGCATGTGGCACCTTGCAGAACCTTCAGAATGAAGGCAGCTATAGGCACCGAAGCAACTCTGCTATGCAAGCCTATGTGCACACATAGGACCTCAGATAGACACAGTCCTTCAACAATGGAGCCAGTCATGGACACTTGAGAAGAAAATATAACTCCCCTAGAAAATGGTAGAGACACTCCCTCATTTTATTCCATTAGAATTCTGAGCACAAGATAAAGACAAGGAGAGATGCAATGGGCCTCTCCTGTATCTCTTTCTCGGCCCTGCTACCTCCTGAGCTGCCTCTGCAGGTGCTGGTAACCCAATAAGCTTAGCACAAGGCCAATGTGAGGCATTCTGAGATCCAGGATTGGGTTGCTCAACATCTGACTAAACTGCCAGCCTTCTGAGCAAGGCTACCCTCTTTAGACCCTTCCTTAGTATAAGCTAGATAAGCTCCTGGCTCCTTCCACTAACTCCTGAGCCTCATCATATTCCTGGATCTCAGACAGCACCTCCCCACTCAAGGTGCCTGGTTCTATCTCTGTGTCATCCCTGCTGCTATAGCCCCAGCTGGCATTATCCAAGGGCACCGTGATTCTCTCCCAGCCAATCCCATTCACACCTGTAACGGACCACACGTCCAGCCCAGACATAAAACAAGACTGAGTTGCTGGAGCGACTCAGGCCACAAGCTCCAGCAGATGCCAGACTATGATAACCATATAGCTCTAATATGGAGTATGGGAGAAACACATCTTTCATTTGGATATCTCCATGACATCCGATAAGATATTGGATGCACATGGCGCTGAGAGACTGGAGGAAAAAAACACCTAAACAAAAATTTGTGCAAGAACAAATTGGTCTGTGTATTAGTAAACTAATAGGGAAATTCTGCACTAATGTAGCCATGTAAAACCCCAATGTGATCATGGAGAATGGGCATGAGCATGGGCTCAGCAGTTTCTGATTTTCTGACCTCCTTGGTTTGGGGGGTTATTCCTTACCGTCCTGCAGTGCCTTCAAAGGCATACTCCCAGCCATCGAGGGTGTGGCAGTATGGGCCCTGGACAAGACCCAAAGCAGATATGACCAGGCAGTATCCAGAAAAAGCAATTCCAAGGGCAGAAAAGATGATTGACAGCAGTGTCTAAATTAAACATAGAAGAAGGTTAGTGCCATAGAATGAGACAAGGGGATATTGTGGATAAATTATCCAATAGGTATATTCCCCTATTCATCCAAGCCTACTGCAGTCTAGGTAATATCAAATGCTCACATAAAAATGGAAAAACTTGATCCAAACCTATTTGATCTTAAAAAATAAGTTTTTAAATGACTTTTTGTTTGGTATCACGTAGAGGGAAGAAGGTAATTTACTAATTTTCTTCATTTTTTTCTGAAATTTTGATATCAAAATAATGGTCACCTCTTACAGAAATCCAGTGAAGGGATGTGATCAATCAATCCATAGTATTTACTGAAGACCTGTTATTTTCTAGGTAGGGTAGGATCTCTAAAAATTACAAACCATGACCTCTGCTTTTCTCTTGTGAATATATTTTAATATCTTCATATACAGGAATACAAGGAGAAATAGCAGATGCTAGCCGGGATATTTATATTCATATTTAAGTGAGGATGGGACTAATGAGGAGGAGGGTGTTCTCGTTTGAGTAGAGAGAATGAGTGATATTCACAGGCAGATCAGCGCAAGCAGAGTTGTGAGACAGTAGGCAGACTGGTCTGATCTAAGAGGGGTTCATCTAGGGGAGTGAGGAGAGAAGCTTCTGAGGACAGATTGCCAAGGTGCTGATGCTGGGGAAACAGGGCTGACAGGACACAATCCAGCCTTTGAGTGGCTTACAAGGTGGGTACAGCTTGATGGATCTGGGCCAGAGAGGGCCTCGAGTGCCACATCAAGGCCATCCTTCATGGTGAGGGGCTTTTCTCCCCACAGCCTTTTACTCAAAAATTTTCAAATCTACAAAAAAGTTGAAAGTATAATACAGTGAACCCCTATTTTATACTCTTTACCTAGATTCACCTATGTGAATATTTTACCATATTCGTTTTTAACTCTGTGTGTGTATGTATGTGTGTGTATATATTCATGCAAATGTACATATATACATATATGTGTATATACACATATATTTATTTACTTACACATTTTTGTTTCTGAACCATTTGAAAATAGACTGCAGACATTATGATATTTCACCCCTAAATATATCAGCATACGTTTCCTAAGAATAAAAATATTCTATTATTTTGTAACTATTTTTATCTTTTTTGTACAGGTCCAATAAGGCTTTATATGCAAGGTTATGTCTCTTTAGTTTTCTTTAATTTATGCTAGTCTCTCTGTCTTGTTGTTTTTCATGATATTAAATTTCTTTTTTGAAGAATCCCAGCCAGTTGTCTTGTAGAATATACCTCATTCTGGGCTTTTCTGATTATCTTCTCATAATTAGATTCAAACCTTTTGGCAATAATATCTGATTAGTGTGGTGTACATTGTGGGCCTCCCATGCAATGTGTGTTTCTAAGTTTGGTCTTTTGGTTAAGGGTGTCCTCGGATTTTGCCCCTGTAAAGGTACATACCCCACTTTGCAATTAGTAAATAATGAGACATTGTCACATTCCTTTTCCTAACAAGATTTCAACTGATGGGTTTAGCATCCACTGATGATCCTCATTTTCATTGATTACCAATGATCACACTAGGGGTTGTAATGTGCTGCTTTTGTAATTCTATCATTTCTCTGTATTTATAAGTTATCATTTTTCTGCTCAGAAGAACTTCCATTTCCCATTTCTCTCTCCTTTGCCTCTCTTTTTCTGTATTATTGCGGGCCCATGGATTTTCTTATTCGAGATGCTTTAATCCATAACTGCTGTGATTCTTTTAGATGTCCAGATGGTCCAAATTTGGTCACTGAGAACATCTCTTTAAGTCAACTTCTGTGTCCGTTTACATACCCCTATCATTCGGAACATTTCCTTGTTTTCTGGCACAAAATATTCCAGGTTCACTTTGAACTTACCCTGCCCTAGACCTGAAATAAGCTGCTCTTCCAACAAATCGTGTAATTGGCTTTTGAGCAGGGAAGTGGCGTGACCACAGTGTGCTTTTGTAAGATTCCCTGGCAGTGGTCACACCCGCTGGAAGTAAGAGACCCTGAGATAAGGATTGCACGTGGAGACACCTGCGAGTGAGGTGACAAAGACACGCAGCTGGAGGAAAACACATTGAGGAGGAAATGAGTAACTGGAGACAGACTGAAAAAAAATCTGGAGTTGGCCCTTGGATGAAAAGGAGACAAGAATAGGGATGCCAAGAAGGGTATTTTGGTTTCGGGGAAAAATTAATTTAGTTTTAGAAATGGTGATTTTAAGGTGAGAGTAGGCAGCCAAACTGTAATGTGCAGTAATCAGTGGATAACAAGTCCAAAAGCTGAGAAAGAAAAGGTGAGAGCAACAAACTTGTGATTTTAGGCATAAGAATCATCTTGAATTACATTTCTTTGTTTAAAATTATTTCACCAATTCTAGCATTAATATATCGTCTTTATGGAAAATTGGTAAAAAAATATTTTAAAAATACAAGAGGAAAAGAATAATTCTGCTTTTTTCTTATTTGATATTATTTCATTGGTCTCTTCACATATGAATAAATGCTCTTTGAAATTATATTTCTCATATTGATTTGAATAAAGGTTTACTCATGGGATGAGATAAACAGAACTACTTTTTTTTTTTTACTGTTAGTTATACTTTATAAAAAAAATTTGCCTATTCACCAACTTTGAAAATAGAAGAAAAATATTTTAAGAAGATACAGATACTTGTTTACCAAGTGTACCCTTAAGAAGTTCACTGAGAAGATCTACAAAATTTCTTCATTTGGAAGAAATTGGCAACAATAGCATATGTATATATACAACGCAAACATACAAATGACCATCTAATGGTCACTATTGCACAATCCAGGTAAGCCTCCAAATAAAGTGGGAATAAGGATCTCTCTAAGTCATAGTTTCATTGTTTGTAAACTGTAGATGATGTAGATAACAACAGCACCTACATAGCAGGACTGATCAAAAATTAAAGTATAATAAAGATATTAGCTATTATTTCAAGTGCCCTTATTTGGCCATTATTTGCTTTCCAGGGATAATTGCCCAAGAATTTTGGCAGAAGTCCAGACCCATGGAGGAATGGATAGTGTCTTAGTCAGTTCCTACTGCTATAACAAAATACCTTAGACTGGGTAATTTATAAACAAAAGAATTTTATTACTCACAATTCTGGAGGCTGGAAAGTCTAAGATCAAGCCATTGGCAGATTTGGTGTCTGGTAAGGGCTTGTTCTTCATAGACTATGCTCTTTCTATGTGTCCTCACATGATGGAGAGGGGTAAGTGTCCCCTTTTATAAGGGCACTAATCCCATTCATGAGGAAAGAGCCCTCATGACTTAATCCATTCCCAAAATGTTCTACCTCTTAATACCACCGCATTGCAGATTTGGTTTCCATATGCATTTTGGAAGGAGACATTCAGATCATAACAGATAGCAACCAAGCAAGGAATTAATTTTCATTCCAGAGCTTCAGAAGTTACAAACTGGTGCGGACTCTAATTTGGCCTGCAAGACGTGCTTTACTGGGTTTAAAAGAGGATTAATTGCCAATATTTTATAATTGAGAAGTTTTACATAAAAATCCATATTTCTACTCTCTACTAAAAACTGAGACTTATTATCCAATTTCATCATGGTGAAAATTGGCTGCACTTGAGTAGCAGTCCCTCTCCACAAGTGAAAATTGTACTCTAATACCTACCAGGTGCACTTCTTTCATTTACATCACAATTTGGCTCCTGGGGGCATATGAATTAGCACCTCTATTCTAGAGCCTACCTTGAAAAGGCCAAACAGAGAATGCTTTCTCCCTCCCCCCTGCTCTTCCTAATGAGATGTTGGTCATCTCTTTTAATGCTGATTGTAAGACCCTGCTCAGACTATTTCTAGAATCTATTTGTGCCAGGATGCTAATAGTGAGTTAAGACAAATAGAACATGTCGGTTTTTATTATATACTTAATAGCACTTATATTTGTTTTCTAGAAATTCCCTGAGTATCATAGCTTAAATGTTTACCTGAATTCATCGCTTCACCTAGGCAATTTAGAAAGCTCTTCCTTAAGTATAATATAAGTAGCTGTTGGGGGATGTCCGAGTTAATTGGTTAAGAACACACACACACACACACACACACACACACACACACATATACACATACATGAGGAGCATATTTCTAATTTTCAATTCTCCACCAGGGACACAGTGCTAAATTCAGCAGCTATAATTTTTCAAGGGCATCAAAGAAAGTTGGCCATACCATCTGGGCTACAAATTAAAATCTCCTGGGGAGATTTAAAATCATATCCATGCCCAGGTTGCATCTCAGACCAACTAAGTCAGGGATTCTGGGGTTGGGATTCAGGCATTAGTATTTTTCCAAGCTCCCAGGTGATTACAATGTGCATCACTTGGAACCACACGTGGAACCACTGCTGCAAAGAATACCTGCAGACTTCGTGGTAAAGCTGGTCCTAGTTAGTAGTCACTTGTTCTCTTTGAGCCACAACTGCCTCATCTATAAAGCAGGAGTAAGGATGACTTAACTCACAGGGTAATGTGAAAGAAATACAAATTGCTATGTAAATAAGTAATGAGGAGGAGGAAGGGGGAGAAGGATAATGGTAGAAATGCAAGAGCGCAGGCTTAGAAAATGCAATTGTATTAATCTCCCTTGTTCTGTTTTAATTATTTTTAAAGTTCCAATTAAAAAAATGTACATCATGTACACCCAACCGCATGGATTAGTCTAAAAATTATTGTGCTGGGTGAAAGAAGCCAGATAAAGACAAATACTGTATGATTCCATTTATATAAGATACAAACTAACCAATTATGACAAAAAGTAGGTCAAAGGTTAATCTTTTGTGAGTGATGGAAATGTTCTGTATCCTGATTGTGATAGTGGTTTCATGGGTGCATTCAACTGTGAAAACTCATGGAATTGTATACTTTTAACGGACGCTATTTTCTGTATGTAAATTGGTCATCAGTAAAGGAAATAAGGGAAAAAATAGACAAATAGAAACCCAGCTCGGAAAAAGTATTATTTCCTAATTGTATGTATCTTTAAATCCTGAATCTCTGGAAGTGCATCAGCAGAACAAAGGCAGAGGAAAGACCACAAGGAAAATGGCAGATGATCTCCAAAGTAAAGTCTCCGTCTCTGAACTGGCAGGACATCAAGAGGGTACAAAAGTGTCAATATTTTTGTGTTTCTAAGAGGAAAGAAAGCTGGAGCCCACTCAACCACCCTTAAAAAACTATTGCTCTTACCATGTATTTTTTGCTGCAGTTTTCACTCTGGCAACATTTGTAGTTGTTATCACTCTCCAGTACTAGAAGAACTGCTGCTACTACAAGCATCTACATGAGGGCAGAGATAAAATGTTAGACATGGAATGCTGGTTTACACTCGTGCTCATAGTCACAGGACGGTGTCTCCAAGCACAGACTCTGGGGTCAGGCAGATCTGGGTTCGAATCCCAGCCCCGTCACTCTCTAGCTGTGTTAACTTGAGATTCCTTGTATATAAAATGGTGTTGAGCGCTCACCTCTTCGGGTTGTCATGAGGTAAAATAGGTAAAATTTTGAGCATAGTGCTTGATTCATAGTAAGTGATTGGTAAGTCTTAGCCTTTATTATCATGGCTAGTAATCATTAAAAGCTAATGATTAAGAAGTAAATGGTATGGAGATGGGAATACCACTCTGGGCCGCAAAACCTGCCTTTCTCACTGACTCAGTTGTGGAGAACAAAGGAAAATCATTTGCCAGAGTTTGAAGTTTGCCAGGCTTTCTCCATTCATTGCCCTCTGGAATGGAAGTGAGAGGCATGGTTACCCTGAAACTGTATCTCTTTAAAGTAAGTTCAATTTCCCCATGTATTCAAACTATCTCAGGTTCAAATTTTTTCAGGGTATTTTGTCTGTATCCAATAAACCAGGAGAATTCAGTGCATTCTACTTCCTGTGGTATCTTTAGCAAAGGGCTACAGCTCTGGAAACAGTATGTATTTCTTTACTATTATAATTTCAGGTGAGAGCAGGTGTGGAAACTCTCCGCCTACCCTTTACTCTCACTGTTCAGTACTGAATACTGAAGCTGAATTCAGTGCATTCTACTTCCTGTGGTATCTTTAGCAAAGGGCTACAGCTCTGGAAACAGTATGTATTTCTTTACTATTATAATTTCAGGTGAGGGCAGGTGTGGAAACTCTCCGCCTAAACTTTACTCTCACTGTTCAGTACTGAATACTGAAGCTGAGTTCACTGTTATGTTACTGTTGTAACCAATATTTCCAGTTTCCAAATTTCTTCAACTTTCATTCATTTTTCTGTCCATTTATTTAATTGTCTATATTCCTCTCGTTTCTCCTAAAAGGATTTGATGCAGTTATGATAATATATTTCAATAATTCCTAGAAATTGAAACTGAAAAATAGAAAACAGTTTCTTTTCCCAGTTTTAACTTTTACTAATCCATAAATATAAGCAAAGGAGCCCTATATTCCCCTTCTTTCAACACCATTAGTTACTACAAATCTTAATAGATTGTGCTTTAATCTCATTTATGCCTGACACTCTTCCATTTATTACAGTTACGTACTGAGGGAAACGATGATGAGATAAGGCTGAAGCACAGTAACCAGCTCCATCACAATACTGGTAGAAAAAGTTAGACCCAGACCCCAGAGTCCTGTCGTTCGGGCAGGAAAGAGAAACTGCCTTATTTTTTTGTTTTAAAATATAACTGCAATACAGAGGACTCAAGAATAATCAAGGCAAATTATACCTAATGCCATCACCCTCCTGTATTTTTACAAATTTATTTCCAGTGTTTTCGCACATACATGTTTTACATAGCTGCAATAGTAATTCGCCCACAATTTTGTCTTGTCTTTGTTCATTTAACATGAAATAATATGCATTTTCCATGTTGTTACATCTTCATAATTATAATTTTCATTACTGTATGAAATGAATGTACCAAAATTTATTTAGCCAATTCTCTGCTAGGATGATTCTTCTAGTTATTTATTATTATAAATAATGCTGCCACAAATATCTATGCACACAGCTCTTTCCTCATTTTGGATTATTTCCTCAGAATAAATGATCAGATTTAGAATTACTGAGTCAAAGGAAACAAGCATTTTCATAGACCTTGATGTGTCATACAAATCTCTTCTCCAAAGGATTTGCATTTATTTGTTGTGCCACCAACATTGGCTATGTACATATTACTTAGCATCAGATATTAATATTTTAAAGTTTAGTAATTTAATATGAAAAATCAATAACTAAATGAAAACTGCTTTCTAACATAGCTATTCAAATATTATAATGATTAAACACCCACAAAGATGTAGAAATAGATCATAATGAATATTCAATATACATTATTGGTGGTCCAGCAAGCTTACAGTGCACAATGTGTTGTTTTTAGAAATGATATGATCAGGAAAAGTGTCTTTTCCTCTACCTTGCCAACATGATTTACTATCAGTTTGTTTATTTTTAAAGAGCACAAAGTTGTCAGGAAAATATTCATGGATTCTTACCACTGATAATTCGATTTAGTTTTCAAAAACCCCCTCCATTATTAGGGGCATAATGTAGGACTATTTTGTCCTTTATAATGATGATAAGAACCATTCTTTAGCAACTATTTGTAATCACAACAGTCACTGGCTACCTACTATAGGTCAGTCTCTGTCCTGAGCACTTTATCTATGTGATTTTACCCTGAAAAGTAAATGCTATTATTCGCATTTTTCAAATGAGGACACTGAGGCTCAAAGATATTGAGTAACTTTCCAAAGGTCTCATGGCACAAATGACAGAGCTTGGATTTGAATGCAGGTTTATCTGAATCTCTAAGTCCCTGCTTTTTCCATGCCCCCCCAAGCTAGAGAAATCCTGAGTACAGACTGAAAATCTGCTCTGGAAAAGAGTAATACCACTGGAGATCAAATAGCTTAAATTGTTACACTGGGTTCATGAGGACATACTATTTGTACGGGCCAGTGTCCCACAGACTTTCATTAGGACTAATTTCCTGCATTGCTGAAGCTGCACTGCTGAGCAGCGTATCAAAAACAAAGCTATGCCCCAAATCTGAACAGACTACCTGCCCCTCCACCTCCACCCATCTTCCAAATCCCAAGCCAAGATTAGTAGAATGATTTTTCCATTATTCATTATGTTTACTAGGTTACAAAGCAAGTCTTAATAACGACTCCCCTTCTGTGATCCCAAGTCTCCAAAATCACACTTACCATGACACCCGAGAAACAGATCCCTTCAAAATACCACACGTAGTTGGTGAGTTTATTGCTGGTAGCATAGGAAGTTTGCCCATTTGGGAAATACAGTAATATATTCACAGTTATACTCCAGAGTGCAAGCGGAATCAGCAGACAACTTAGGCAGCCTCCACACTTCCGAGACCCCATTTTGCCCTGCTTAGAACCTGCAGGAGATTTCAAGAGTATAGAATTACATAAAGCCTAGTTTTCTTCCTACCTGTCTTTTTTTCCTTCTTTTTGAGATTACCTACCACTTTCTGGGTCAGAGCCCTTCACTTCATACTCATGAGGAGCCGGGGACTTAGAATATCACTGCAGCCGACAATCTCGTGTGAAATAGTGGTTTACTGTTTAGAGAACAATAGACAATGATCAACGGCTGAAGAGCTGAGCTGGTCTTCATCCTGTGCCAAAGGAATGCGGTGTTTTTCACTGCTTTTTAAAATAAGTCATTTTCCCCTGGATTAAAGCACTGAAGTCTTAACCCTGAATCTGTTTTAAGAAGGAAGTTGGGGTGGGGGCTGGAATTGGCAAATTTTACACAACAGTGAACAAAGGGCTACAGAAAAAACTACCAAAGAGTCTTATAGTAAAGCACATGTTTGTTAAAATGTCCTGGCTTCATAGCTTCTTTATTTATCTGTGTTTCACTGTGTTCTTTATTGTGTGCTCACTATTCACCAAACGTTATTTCAACTGCCAGGGATACCAAAACTAACAAACAAACAAACAAACAAACAAAAACTAAGAAAGGGACCAGTGGGTGACAAAAACAAGACATAGCAACTGATGAGTTTATTATCACAAGATCAGTACAACTTTCCTTCCAAGGGTTCACTTCTATTATCTTTACCGCACTGAAAAATAATAACAGCCATAAATGCATACCTTTCTTACTGTCAAGAAAAAGGAGGTAAAGGAAAGTGGGTAAGTTAAGACTTTATGAGCAATGAGTTTGAAACAAGGATTGAGGCATTCTCCCTTCCAAATTATTGCCTTAAATTTAAAGAGCCACAGATGTCTTCTGATGATGACGACTTGAGAAAAGGATCGTGAGGAGGAGTCTGGGCACTAATGCGTTAGAGATGACATAAGCTGCAGTGGCAAAGAGATCAAGGGTTGCTCCACCTAGTCTCCACCGCTGTCTGCTGGCATCCCTGGGATCCTGCTTGACTTAACTTCCTTACCTCTCAACTCCCTCAGCTGTGAAATGGAGGTTTAAAAAACAGCACCTTCCCCAGAATGAAGATGGGAGGATTAACAAGATTATATGTCCAAAATACAGTGTCAGGCACATATAGACAGTGGGCAATACAGGGGAGCCATCATTAATAACAAAAAGGGGCACTTATAGGAACGTAATTGCCAAAATAGTACAGAGATCAGAATTCAAGTCTGCTTGTTTACTCTTCTCTGTACCCAGAGAGTTCTATATCATGAAGTATTAAAATTTTTCCCCCAGAAGTATTTACATTTAATGTTATTATCCTCCTGAAACTATTAATACTCTAAAACATGTGTACTTTTAACTCAAGAGAATAAAATTACTTATTTTTATATGAATAATTTAAAAATTATACTTTTACTTTTTTAGAAAATTGAGATACTTGGAGCCACTTTGGGATTCAAACAAAAAAACAACCCTAGAAACTAGCAGTCCAGGTTCCAAAGAGGTTTCTTGGCTCCCCCTTGTGGATGTGATTTTTTTTCCTCTAGTGTTTTTGATCTAAGTGCATCAACAAAGTCTGAGCATTAGATTTTATTTCCGATGACATACAAGCAGCCTAAAATTGTATTTACTAGAGTTCTTGGGATGATTGGTTGAACATTTTTGGTTGAATGTTCACTGAGTGCCTCCTATATGCCAGGCACTGTTCTAAGAGCAGGGAATAGATCAGTGAACAAGATAGTCCCAGTCCCTGCCCTTGTGAAACTTACATTCTACTATAAAGGATTCTAACAATAATATATATATACACACACACACAATATATATACACTATATATTGTATATATATTGTATAGCATATCAGGTGGTGATAAGTGTGGCTAAAATAAATCAGGAAAGGGTGACTAGGGGTCACCCTAGAGAATGTGGATGGACACTGTGCTAGAAGCTTTCACTTGCATTAAAACAAAAAGCCAAAACACTCATTCTTACAATAACACTAAGGTGAAGGCATTATTAACCACATCTCACGTGTGTCAAAAAATGGATCTAAGGAAAAATTTTAAAATTTGCCCAGGAACTAAGTTAAGCCCAAGGCTTTGATATTCTTCGTACTATTCCATCGTGTTCACTTGTGCCTGATACATTTCTATGCGTTAACCTAACTCTTCTTATTGCAAATAGGTTTCACATTCGGAGGTCTGGGTTCCTTGCTGATGGCTGCCTCCAGTGCTATTTTGAAGGCACACTAGTTTCAGTGGGAGAGAGATATAGACCAGATAGTTTAGCTAGATAGGTTAGGTACGTCTGCTGTGGGGATAGGGTCAGGGAAGGGCAACATGCATGGCTAGTAGTCCCTAGCCTTGGTCAAGCTAAAACAGTGTCTCTGATGGTTTCATGTGCCTTGGGGAGGAAGCGAATGACCAATCGCCATTGGGAGACTGTTCAGCAAGAGTGCCAGAAGTGAATAAAGAGGATATTCCTGGCTGGAAAACTTGATAAACTTGTGAAAAGGAGAGTTGAGCAATTTCCTCATCTTCAGTTACCCCATTAGTGAAAATATCTAATGATCTCCAGATAACCTCCAAATTTACTTAATTTCATTGCTAAGAAAACTTTTTTAACCTGCCTCTGAAAAAAAAAGTGTGCTCATAAATAACATCCTTGAAGCTATTTGCCTCCAGTAAACTCCCAATTTTCTTGCCAAGGAATTCTTACTAAATCAGGATTTTCTTGCCAGTTCTCCAGTAACTTCGAAGAGTCACTGGAATGCTGTGCTTATTGGCTGTTTCTGGCCTTGGCTTCCTGTTCTCAACAGCAGAGCTGAGGAAATCCGCAGGATGTCTGCTACCGGGGGACATGGTGACTCAGGAGGAAACACTCCACCTAAAATAGTCTTGGTATGCAGTCTCCAAGTCACTTTGGAATCAGAATTAATATATGAGCCTGGAATTAGTCACACAGGTGATGGGAAGTGAGGAAGAAGGAAGTATCTGAAAAAAGTTTATCAAAAAGAAAAGTTTGCCAGAAAGATAAAATTTTAATAGCAGAAAAGGCTAATATTCAGAAAGAAATTTTGTCCTGAGAGTTTAAAGTAGACTAATTGTGATATCCTCCATTGACCATGGGCATGAAGTACTGGTCTGAGTCCAATTTAGGGACCCACTGGGAGTGAATATTTACTTAGAAACACATTAGAAAAGCAGCAGTAGGACAGCTGTGTAAACAGAAGTGAACCGTTTGGATGCAGTCTTCCTGATTTTTGTGTTTGTAATTCTTTCTCTAGAATTATCTGGCCTAAAATGTCTATAGTGCCAATAGACTCTAGTTTTATCTCTAACTAATGGTAAACATCTAGGTTTTTACTTACTGAGAGAGGGAAAGGAGTGTTCCTTTCCTATTTAAAACTCCCCAAGTAGTATTCTGTGTTTGGAAAGTCCTCTCAGACCATTGTCATACTCACCCTTTACTCCCTTCCACCTGGCTCCCAGCCTTCCGGAGTTCTTTTATTTATTCAAAGTCTTCACAGTGAGGAACCAGAGAAATATATTTAGTCATTTATTTGTGAAATGTGTATTGAGCATCTACATGACTGCTGGGGCAATAAGTACCCATTCCCTGCCCTCAAGATGCTCAGGGTCCAGTTGGGGAAATAAAAAAATTAAACAGCAGATTTGCAACATGTTGGCTCACCAATAGATTTAACCACAGGCTACTTGAAAGGCACAGGAACCTTGAATAGAGCTGGGCCTCAAGGGAAATTTCTCAGAAGCCTAGGGAACAGAACCGAATCTTCAAGGTTAAGAAGCAGGAAGCTGAGCAAACTGAGACTCAATCCAAATTAGATGTTCACTGGTAGATACATGCAATGTATGAAGCTTGATTGGACTTCGGTTTGGAAAAAAATATAGTGCCACACATTTTGGGGATAATTGGAAAAATATGAATATAGGCAGTATTTAGACAATATTAGAAGGTCGTTGTTAATTTCAGCATAATAATGGTATTATTAAGGAGATTGCTCTAATTTTTAAAGGATGCATA